GGAGCGGACGATGAGGGTCTAAATCATGTTTACAGATGAAGAGGTGGCTGTGGAGAGTCTAAATCAAGTTTACAGATGAAGGGGCTTGCATACAAAATATAATTTGCTTTAAACGAGGCAAGTAATTGATTAATTGATGCCGATTTTGATTCAGGCATGCATTGTGTCTGGATCTGAGTATGTGCGCTAAAGTTGGGATCGATTGGACAACGGGAACTGGACGTCATTTTGATTACAAGATTAGACCACGGCAGACAGAGAAATGAAGTTTAATAACTCGATTGGACAAGGGGAACAGGACGACATTTTTACTACAAGATTTGACGACGACATACAGAGGAATGAAGTTTAATAAAAAAAAGAATTCACAATTTCGTTTAACTCACCGTCGAGACGTACGTCAATGATACGGCGCCTGCTGCCACAACAACGCTTGCCTGATTTAATGGATTATACTGGTAGGAAGGAAGTTGTAAACTGAGTGTACCAGCCTGCAATAGATTAATGTGTCCGTCCGTCCCCTTTCAATACTTTAACGAAGTGAAATCTCGTGCTGTTGGGTGTAAAATCAGCAATAGACAGCGCAGAGACTTGATATCTCTTATAGTGGTAGGAATAAGGATTTCACCATTCCATTCCTCTACAGAGGTTAATTTGTCCGAAGAACCCTCAACGATTTTGAGGGCAAAAAGGTGGGAAGACGCTCTAAAAAAAAAGGTGGGAAGACGCTCTCAATTTGCACAATTTTACGTAACAATGTCATAAAATTGCGCAAAATTCCAATGTTCCTACCAGCCCACCCTGCAGGGACCTGTTTTTATAAATGAATCTGCCTGAGGCACGTGGCGCCTGCTTCTTGGGCGAGACGATTCGAGAGTATAGAGACCGCGGCGTTTTTGACCTACAGAAATATATATAAATAATGTGTCCATACTAAATCTTAATTGCTTTAAAGGAGCCCATTAATTGATAAATTGATGCCGATTTTGAAACAGGCATGCATTGTCACCGGAACTGAGTACGTGTGCAAAATTCGGGATTGTTTGGACAACGGGAAGTGGACGAAATGTAGATTACAAGATTTGAGCACGACACAGCTTTCAAGTTAAATAAAACAGTTGAAAATAAACTCCTTTAACAAAAAGTTTTTTTTAAACGGTTTTATTATGAACAACTTCGTTTAACTCACGGTCGAGAAGTACGTCAATTGCGCCTGCTTTTTGTGCGAGCCGATTCCACCGTTTAGGGACCGCGGCGTTTTTTGACCTACACAAATATATATAAATAATGCGTCCATACAAAATAAAAATTGCTTTAAAGTAGCGAATTAATTGATTAATTGATGCCGATTTTGATACAGACATGCATTGTCACCGGATCTGAGTACGTGTGCAAATGTGGAAGTGATTGGACAATGGGAAGTGGACGAAATTTTGATTACAAGATTTGACCACGATAAACAGAGGAATCAAGTTAAGTAAAAGCGTTGAAAAATAGATGTTTTTTTCCCAATAATTATTAAGAGAGGGGAGGGGCGCGTGGGGGATAGAGGGGAGGGGCGAGTGGGGGATAGAGGGGAGGGTCGAGTGGAGAGTGGGGGATAGAGGGGAGGGGCGAGTGGAGGGGAGAGTGGGGGATGGAGTGGAAGGAAGTGGCGAATGGGGGATAGACACTAAAATATTCGTCATTAACACTGGCATGAAGAGAAAGCATAAATAGGCGATGTTTTAGGCAATGTCTGTTCTTTGTAGAAACGTCGCCTATTATATATTATTTCTGTTTTATTTACGGTATTATTGACGAAAATATTGCGTTTAATGGCCTTATTAGTTGTGCTTGTGCACCACTGCCAACGTAGCATCAAGAGATACTTTTGTTTATTTTTTTGCGGATAAGAGACACGACGAGAAGCGCAAGCGAGTGGCGTTCTTAGGGATTACAGTCAAACCTCTTCATTTGTGGATTTTACTTCCGCGACCTTCGACTATTCGCGATTTGGCAACATCGCACAGATGGGAAGGGGTACTCTGCTTGTGCAGTGCAGCAGCGGCTTGGGGTCCGAAGGCCAGGTTCCTCATTGCTGAAGATTTTACTCTTCACTTGTCGTTTCCTTTCGTGATATTTCGGGGGTTTTTATTTCGATTTTGGAGTCTAAGTGTCAAGTTAATGGAAAAAGCGAGAGCAGGAGTTAGAGTAGTTGGATAGACCTGGCCACCGTTACATGGTAAACGAGTCAACAGTGGGATGTGTAACGAGTCAACAGTGGGATGTGTAACGAGTTACCAGTGGGATGTGTAACGAGTCAACAGTGGGATGTGTAACGAGTCAACAGTGGGATGTGTAACGAGTCAACAGTGGGATGTGTAACGGGTCAACAATGGGATGTGTAACGGGTCAACAGTGGGATGTGTAACGAGTCAACAGTGGGATGTGTAACGAGTCAACAGTGGGATGTGTAACGAGTCAACAGTGGGATGTGTAACGAGTCAACAGTGGGATGTGTAACGAGTCAACAGTGGGATGTGTAACGAGTCAACAGTGGGATGTGTAACGAGTCAACAGTGGGATGTGTAACGAGTCAACAGTGGTATGTGTAACGAGTCAACAGTGGGATGTGTAACGAGTCAACAGTGGGATCTGTAACGAGTCAACAGTGGGATGTGTAACGAGTCAACAGTGGGATGTGTAACGAGTCAACAGTGGGATGTGTAACGAGTCACCAGTGGGATCTGTAACGAGGTCAAGCAGTGGGATGTGTAACGATGTCAACAGTGGGATGTGTAACGAGTCAACAGTGGGATGTGTAACGAGTCAACAGTGGGATGGTAACGAGTCAACAGTGGATGGTGGTAACGAGTCAACTAGTGGGATGTGTAACGAGTCAACAGTGGGATGTGTAACGAGTCAACAGTGGGATGTGTAACGAGTCAACAGTGGGATGTGTAACGAGTCAGTAGTGGGATGTGTAACGAGTCAACAATAGGATGTGTAACGAGTCAACAGTGGGATGTGTAACGAGTCAACAGTGGGATGTGTAACGAGTCAAGGGATCCCCTGCATCAGTGGCGGCTCGTGACATTTCCACTAGGTGGGGCTGTTGAGTAACCTCTGAAAAGATGGTGTTCTCATTAAGAAAAACCTCGTCATGTTATTGGCCTTTCCGTGAAAGTGACGTAACTTTCTTTCTACCAATGGTAGGCATTCATAAACAATACGAAACAAAACAACAAAGCACTCAAATGCTGTCCCCATGACCCTCAAGTCCACACTACACAATCTCTTTGTCAGTGCCAAAAGCCTAGATAGTGTACTGTGACCTGCTATATTTGCACAGCACAACCTCGCGTTGTAACATAGTCATTAAAGCCGTGGGCGCCTTTTTCACCACCCTGAATGGGTCTCAAATGGCGTGGCTATAATGTGAAGTTAATTGCAACGAAAGAAAGGATATATCTCACACCCCCGCAGCTGCCCCGAGATCTCCTCGAGGCACAAATCAGACTGTGTTGGAGCAATCTCTAATATGAACAACTTAAAATGTTATCATTAGATAATTCACGTTGGAAGAATCATATATTTTTGTTAAACAAAACAATTTGCAGAAAAGTATTTTTTTTATTAGAAAAATAATTTCTCATCTCCAGCTGCTTGGTGTGGCGGCGTCCCGACTACCAGAGGGGACGCATCGCGCCTGGCACAGGCTACGCACGCATTTTAGATTTCAGTTCCAGCTAAATGCTCACTTGTATAACTAATTTCTTACCAGAGTTTACGGTCCTTAAAGTTACATATTCGTTGACCCTCATCCACATATAGCAAATTACAGCGTTGAGTGTTTAATTTTCCTCCTCGGGCTCTTTGGTCCCGCTCTTGGAGTTTGGCGCATCAACCCGCATCACTGCAGCCCCATTCTGACACCGCTTGCTCATCTGCTGCGCGTTAACTCCACCCTCTGGCTTCTGATTTGTCAATGGGCCACTGTCCTAACGTCTTGTTCCGCATGCTCAGGTGTGTCGCGTAACTATTGCCATTCGATAATTTCCTAACTCGACGATGCCCGTGCGATTTGGAGAACTTCAAATCAACTGCCATGACATTTAGGCGGCATTCCAGACCGAAGCTCGCCATGGGCACCCACGTTCTGAGAGCCGTCCAGCCGAACTCCCACCTCGTGTGAACCCGCACACTCCACACTGGCGTCATCACGAAACACATTGTAGCTGCATGCATGCTCATACTGCCATGATGTTGTAAATAATTATTGGGATATTTTCTGAATTATTTTCTCATTACTGTATTGTCCGTATGTGTACTCAGCCTTGTGCTTAGCATGTGTCTAACTATCGATTTAAAGCTTTCGTGACTGCAAGGATTCATCTTCTTTGGTTCTTTCGGTAAGAGAGAATATTATTGCGTTATTTTATTTGATCAATTTATTATTTTATTCTCATTCTACGTGACTTTACCGAAAGAACCTAAGAAGATGTGTCTAACTAGTTCATCTTCCTCCACATGATATCGATATATCAATATTTTGGGAGGAATTGTATGCATATCTCGACATTAAAGACGTTTGTATGTCCTAGGAATGGTATCGTGTTTCACATGAAGAGCAGGAAGTTCCAGATGCCCACAACTGAAGAAGAAAACTCTGCCCCATGTCGCGAGACACGAGGGGAAGGTCGTGGACCGGGCGTTTTAACCACAGGCATCAGCAAATACACAGGACCAGTGTTTGGAACAAAGTTGCAGACCTGCTCACTAAATGTTTACACAGAAAAGCAATACCTAAATCATGGAATGATTCCTTAATAATTCTATAAAAAGGGAGATAAAATTGTTGTAAAGAACACGCACACAGTTGGTTCGTATTAAGGTCAATGGGAAACAGAACATCGAATAATATTGAGCGCACCCATGCAGACCTTTTTTCATGGGCGTACTATCCAGCAATATGTTAAAGGACAAATGCATTTGACATACCATTATGCCTATATTTTGCAGACTATAAAATTTTATTAAAAGGCATGCTGTCATACAAGCTCTCAAAAATAAAATATTCAATATAAATTATCAAAAATAAATAAAGGCTAATGGGCAGCAGATAACAGTACCAACAGATATGGGGAAATTACAGATATTTAGGAGAGTGATTTAACAGATATTATATATTGATGATATATGGAATAGTTTAACGTAAGTTGTGGATATGAAGTAAAACTTGAACTTAAGAAGTTACAGACGTTTCATAGATGAAGTGAAAGAGAAATGCGACACGGGCACCGCGTGCCCTGCAGGGACTCGCATCGCGCGCACGGCGAGGCCGTCGTGAAGCCACCACGAGTAGTTGTACTACTTGTAGTAGTAGTACAACTAGTAGTACTGTAGTAGTATTGTAGTAGTCATAGTCGTGATGATGCGCACCCATTACGCACGCCTCAGTCAAGGCCTGCCTCGACCACAGCGTCACCATGGCCTCCACACGCCGACTCCCAGCTCCGCCTTCAGCACCTTCACGGCTCCTCCTCTCCCGTGCCGCTGCCGCTGCTGCTGCTCGCATCCGTGGGGCCCGCGCGCCACCTGCTCGGTAGCGAGGTCCGGGGAGGCCGGGGACGAGGCCGGCGTTGGGACGCGTGTCCGCGCTGCGCCAGGAGGCTTCGTAGCTGCCTCCAGCTGCTGCTGGAGAGCGGCTACGCCTGGCTGCTGTGGCTGCACTGTGAGCGCATCCAGGCCGCGATCCTGCACAGCCAGGATGGACGAGCGGATGAAAGCGACGGCTCCTTCCAGGACATCCGCCTTCTCCAGCCTGCGGTCCTGCTGCTGCTGTGAGGCGCACGCCTGCGCCTGCTGCTGCTGCTTCTTTGTTGCTGCTTCCGCCCCGCCGTCGCAGAGACGCAGCATGAGCTGCTTGAGCTCGTGGAAGCTCTCGTTCATGCGGTGCCGTCTGTCCTTCTCCACCAGGGCCTTTCGCAGCTGCACAGAACACCATGACTGTCAACTATTGGCGCTTCACGATGTTCACGTTACCACTGCACGATGCGCACGTTTAAGTGAGCGCTCGATGCACGTGTGAGTGAGCTTGGTTTGCAATTGTGTATTGTGTAACAATACTCTTGATCGAGTGGATGCACGGGACTGCCCTCACCTTGCGCTTCTCCCCTCGTCCTCTCTGCGGCCCCACGTGGCGTGGGAAGGCTGCGGGACTCGCGCCGCTACCGCCGTCTGGAGGCGGCGGTCGCGGCGCGAGTCGCAGAGCGGCCGCCCGCAATGGCTCCACACCGACCGGACTCGGGCCCAGCAGGTCCCACGGGAAGACGGCGGCGGCATTCATTGGACGCGAGCGTCTTCCTCTTCGTCTCCACGTTCGGTTCTCCCCAGCGGAGTCGCGTTTCGGGGTTGGGGGGGGGGGCGTCGGAGCGCGCGTAGAGTGAGCGAGCGGAGGAGAGCTTCGGCTAACAAGCAGCGCCCTCCTCCCTCCTGCTGGTCCTGCGATGGATGCCGCGGTTGAGTCCGGCACTCTGAGCGGTGTCAGTCGCCTAGGGGTCGCGTGGTGCCGAGACGCAGGGATCGCACGGCGCGGAGCGACCAGCGCGCTCCAGTGTCGACTCGGTGACGGAGCGGCGGGGAATGTGGCGCTGGGAGAGGCGCGGCGGCCGCCTAAATGAGCGTCTCGAGGATGGGGGGGGGGTCACAGCGAGTGGGGGACGAGAAGGGGTGCTGAGCACTGTCAGAGGGGACCTCGGAGCTGTAAAGTTACTTGATGTGGTGCAGGGAGGGGGGGGGCGCTCGGGCGCGATTTGTCGGCTGTTCGCGAAAACGTGGATGAGGCGCACGGGTGTGGGGGTGTTGGAGCGGAGGTGGAGGGTGCCGGGGGCTGTCCATTGCCCGCGACTGCTCAACGTGATGAGGGCGTCAGAAGTGTGGCCATCGCCACGTCCGCTGCTCGCTTTCATGTCACGCGCGGCGTCAGCACACGCCGCCACAACGAGGCGCATTGCAGCCGTTCTGCGTCTTTGTTGAGTGTCACGTGGGAGATCGGAGGAGTCTGTACGTCTCTTAGGCGTGATTCAATGCAGGTGACCCTAGTTCGATTCCCGGTCACGTTCTGCAGTGGTAACATGTGAACCTGTTCTGGGCCACTCGTACATAGACTCAGCTCTTGTGGGTAATTATTGTCAATAATCACTCGTGAACGTGCGCTATGCTCAGCACTATGTCCCGTGATTGCGCTACGTATAGCACATAAGATAATAAATTAAGGCTGAGTAGACCTAGAGGAGGCCATGCACATTTCGGATTTGAACAACAGACAGCTTCACAACCACTCCCGCACTCACGCAACATTCCCCTATATAGCCTCCACAGATTGTTGGGGGATGCCCAGAACCTGTTCAGATATTCTTCACTGATGGTGGTTATAAGCGAGAATCGAATTCTGGTCGCCAGATGTGTAACAAAGTACACTAACCACGACCCTCCCTTTTCCCATTCCCGACCCATATACGGTACACATACATGAAGATACCTACAAACTTAGACACATACAAACAATACTGTACCAGACTGTGAAGTGGACAGGAGATAGCAGGACAACAAGAATATCATGAACCTGTCTGTGCGGACCCTGAGCGATATTCCGTCATTTGCGCATTTTCCCTTTCGCACCTCAAGCCACTCCTTGGTACGGGATTGGATTCACAAATATCCTTAATGCAGATGCAGCGATAATCTCAGAGATAAATGCGTCCTCACATCGTTATCATTATCACTTATAATACATCAAACTCATCATTACAAATACTCCCGTTACTGTGAACAATATAATTAATAGCATACTACTCGCCGTCTTTATCATGAGCCTCTTAGTCAAGGTCTGTATCACCGGTACTCGTGAATGTATCGCTTAAGATAATTATTATCGTCGTTGTGGAGAACATAAATAGTAACACGAGCAATGTCTTCTCGGCGTGTACCCGCTATGTCCATGCTCCTCCGCGACGTCAAGAGAGGCTCCTTCCTTGTCTGTAGCATCCGCTGTTCAGCAGCATTGCTTCAAGTGAGCTTGACTCCGCTGATGAGACACTGCGCGTCCAAACAGATCCAGAGTTTGCTTGGAATGAATCAGTGCGGCTGAATTAATTGGATCCCAGAAGGCCGTAGGGCTGATGGGTTGTGTAACAAATACTTGTAACTTTGATGTGGAGGGAGGGACGTGTGAGGGAGGCATTGTGTGTTTGTCTTGTCAAGTGAAATATATCGGTTATTAGATGCAGTTCAACTCCAGCAGTGTTTAAATAATAGATCATTTGCGGCGGCCTATGTTCACTTGCCATTGTTTGGTGAGATTTCCTCGACTGAAGATCTCTGTTGTCTACAGTACATGTATGTTTTAACATGATAATCCCTAACGTAGTAGTCCTTTGCTGAGAAATACAAATAGTTGCGGAGACGCCAGTGTGTCTGGCGGGACAGCGATGGCACCGAGTGGCGAGGCCGTCAGGGCGAGGCGCATTTAGTGCTCGCAGAGTCGGACTCCACGGTGGGAGGAGCCGTGCCAGATGACACCTCGAGGAGCGTTGGCTACTTACGGTGCGAAAGAAGTTCAACGTACGTACATACGTGCAAGGTACGTGAGAGTCTCCGGGCTGGGTGGAGCCACTTGGGGCGTGGCCTCGCTGTGGCTCTGAGCGGGCCAGGATGCGCACGTCTCCACACGCGGAACCGCTCGTGGCACCACCACGTGCGCGGAACCGCACGCCCTCTCTCACTGCCGCTCTCATTGTCGCCGTGACTCTCACCGGTCAACAGTTCACGTCAACGGCTCCATTAAGTCGGGCGGCAGGGTGCCGCAGTGCTAACACTTGTGCCTCAGCAAGAGGTCCATGGGTTTGACTCCCGATTTGTGCGTCTTTCTCCATGAAGTTAGTTTCCCCTTTTGCTCTGCATGGTTTTCCTCCGAATTCTCCAGTTTCCTCTCATAGTTAACGCCGTAGAGTGTGACTGGATTATGGAAACATCCCAATGCTTAAAAATGGCCTGTAACATTGCCTAAAACTGCGAAAACTTAGCATGACCTTCCTGAAAAAATACTCGGCGAAGCGTTCCTGGATTTAACAAAAACGCGTAACGATTAAGTAAAATCCCACGGGGGGGCTTGTGTCGCTCTCCGTGGCAGCGACAGTTACCAGCTCGACAATGGAGGTTGACAGATATAAGCGCAGTGCAGCGCATTCACCGTCACACCTTGCATCACGATCCACACGATCCATACGACGCTCTGTGTGGTTTGTATGCTAACACGTGGAGACTAATCTCACAGCCACTCCCCGAATCAAATAGGAACATCTCACCACGGCATCGTGTTTTTCTATTGCGATTGCTCTTACCATAAAACTCACACTTAGTAACTATGGGTAGAATTGGAATTCATACGCTAATGCATATGGCATATACTTGAGAATTATACATTAAAATACAATAGAATGGTCAAGAGGTCACCAAATGATTTAAAAGCCTTGAGTAATAAACACAATTCAAATTTCTTTGCAAGCAACGATTCTGCTCTCCGTTGATCTTAAAAAGTTATTTCATGCTCACATAAGCGTTGACGTGCTCATCATCTGTTTACAATCGTGAGCTGGTGGTGGAATTTATACATTATTTTGGCGCAAACGAGTCTATCCATTAGCACAACCACTGTTGTCTTAGCGACCCTCTAAGGATGATGGGCTGAGCCAACACTCAGCCGGGATGTGAACTCGCAACATTCGAATTGCGAGTCGCTCGCTATACCGCTGAGCCGCCGCCTGCCCGGGACGATCTGAATTGAGTAAGATAACGACGCAAACAACGGGAGTCTTCAGCATCGCACGAGTCCCACGATAATCACAATAATAGATTTTACATTGAAAGGGGCATCCCAAATGCACGGCTACAGCCATACGCCATTCAGTTATGTAAATAACAGAATTACTGAGGAAAATGATAGCGAATCCATCTGGAGCATTAAAGGGAATGTCCGCCAATGCATTGAACCTTTTTGACCAGAATTAACTTTCTCGGAGTCACGTGTGTGCTAAAATTGTATTCCCAAAATGCTCACCTCGTGCAAGGCTAGAACTATACGCTGCGAGTTTGGAGGTTGCACCTCGAGCGGCACTGCCCTCTGATGTCTCGCGTGACATCAGAGGGCTGCTAACGAGACAGCTGCAGTGGTAATCGGCAGGCGAGTTCGGCTTCGCCAGGCGGTGTGCCTCCTTGGCCGGAACGAGGGTTGCAGGCAGGTGCGAGGAGGAGGGGAGCCGGGAGCGCTGTGGTGGTGTGGGGGGGGTTGAAGGATGCGGGGCCGGGCCCTGCTGTGGGGCACGGCCAGTGGGCGGAACGGCTCACCCCGCGAAAGGCGCGGGCTGAGGCTGTAATGGGTGGGGGCCCCCCGCGGCGAGCGGTGCCGCGAGAGGCCCCGCGCGGACTCCCTGCTGCGCCGCTTCACGCGGTGGAGCCGCGGGGCCGCCTCTGCTGCTGCTGTTTCCGCCGTCGCCTCGATCGCGCTTTGAGCCGATGCCGTGGTGCGACATTCCATAGGCGAATGACTTTAAGTGGTGAGATGGCCCTATTTTTCTCCGCGTGTTCGCATATAAGCCACACAGAGCCCCGTATGGATCGTGATGCGAGATGTGACGGTGAAAGCGCTGCACTGCGCTAGTATGTCAACCTCCATTTTTGGGTTGGTAACTGTCGCTCCCACGGAGAGCGACACGAGTTCCGTACATGGAGTTTTACTTAATAGTTACGCGTTTGTTAAAAACAGAAAAACCTTTTTTCAAGAAGGCCATGGAGAAGGCCATGGAGTTTTACTTAATAGTTACGCGTTTTGTTAAAAACAGAAAAACCTTTTTTCAAGAGGGCCATGCTAAGTTTTCGCAGTTTGGGGCAATTTTTTCAGCATTGGGATTTGGCGTACGGGTGTGGGGGTGTTAGAGCGGAGGTGGAGGGTGTCGGGGGCTGTCCATTGCCCGCGACTGCTCAACGTGACGAGGGCGTCAGAAGTGTGGCCATCGCCACGTCCGCTGCTCGCTTTCATGTCACGCGCGGCGTCAGCACACGCCGCCACAACGAGGCGCATTGCAGCCGTTCTGCGTCTTTGTTGAGTGCCACGTGGAAGATCGGAGGAGTCTGTACGTCTCTTAAGCGCACTGTGATTCAATGCAGGTGACCCTAGTTCGATTCCCGGTCACGTTATTCAGTGGTGAGTGATATGTGAACCTAAAATTAAATAAATTAGACAATTTGCCTCTACAGCACAGACGACTCCTAGTTTGACCCAAACCCGCGTTACACACTCACATCACTCAAACGTCACAAACACGTTATAACAAAGATCCCCCGTATATTGTTATCAGACTGTTGGGGCAAGTGCTCTGAGTTAGCACCTATGTATTTAGCACTTCTTTCGCACCGTACGTAGCGAGGAAGGATAACAAACTAAACACAAAAAGAAACGAGTTTTCAATCTAGTTTTAAAAGTGCATAGCTCCAGTTGCTTCCTAATATCGGAAGGCAGAGGGTTCCAGACGGCCGCAGAAGCGAATCTGAAGGCGCGCAATGCAGTGCCCGTCTATGTTTGATGGACAGCCAAAAGCCACTGCCAGGATGACCGGAGTTCGCGTGATATTGGTTTAAGCTCCTTGACGAGATCATCAATAAATTGTGGTTCATTTGTGCAAGGACTTTGTGTGTAATGAGTGCGACCTCATAGGAAGCCAGTACAGCTCGGCGAGCACTGGACGAATCTTGCGGTACCCGTCACACTTGCTAAAGAAGGCCGGAACGGTATATTAAGGGGGTGGGTGGCCAGAACCATGCCCGACCAC